CCCGCGCTCGCCCGGCGGTAGAGCTGCTTCCCCCGCGTTCCCGCGCTTCACCGTGTGGAGGGTTGTGGACACGGGAGGTGGGTCCTGGCAAGTGGGGCCACTCTGCCAGGAGACACTAGAGAGAAACAAACTAAAGGAGATGCATTGCTCCCTACTCCCAGCACAGATCTGGGTGCGAAGTCGGTCCCAGCATAGCCACTTAGCAGGGCTCGCCGGTGCAAGCTCGAGTGCAGAGTCCCGCAGCCACAGCACTGCTTCCTAGGACGAAGGTTTGTGGTTAAGCTGCAAACCCCTCCCAGGCACCAGCCAGTTGTCAACACCCCACAGACCAAAATTCCTGGCTGTCAGACTAGATGCATGTGAAGGTTTGATTTGGATCAGTTCATTCCTAGCTCAGTAAGCAGAGCTGTGTGCGTAAGGCTCTGAGTATCCTTGCTAGTGCATCCTGGACACCCAGAGCCTGAACCACAGCAACCATTCAGGGAATGAACTTCACTGCTTGCTCCATGAGAGTAACACATCCCCCTCTTCTCCTATGGTAGTGAAATGGGGCACAGCTGAGGGCTAACTGGCTAAAAGTGTCCAGATCTCAGACAGGTGATCCAGGAAGGCAGAGGTAACAACCAAGGGTGATGGAGGGTTGCATTTGCTGACTTTAAATTGGTTTTGCAATTAAGAGTGTGATTAGAAATGGCTATGAGCAAGGATATCCCTTTTGAAGGTGAGTAGTGCAGCCAGCACCCCTCATTCTCTTCAACAGACTCACTTTCCTTGCTGAGGAGCCTCTACTCAACTCCCAGTGTAATTTCAGGCCACTCTGAGGTGCAATAGATACACACATTACTGCAAGATAGCTGCAGGAGAGGTGCCATGAGCAACATAGAGATCTTTACATGACCATCATTGACCTGACTAAGGCCTTTGATTCAATCAGCAGAGAGGCTCTATGGTCTATCCTAATGAATTTAGATGCCCACCAAAATTTGTTACCATCATCAGACTTCTTCACAATTACATGACAGCAATTATCTTAAGCAATGGCTCAGAAACAGACCTCTTCATTATTAGAACCAGAGTCAAACAAGGATGTGTGATTGCACCAACACTGTTTTCCATATGTATTGCAGCTATTCTGCATCTCATTGCTGATAGGCTTCCACCTGGAGACAGCATCCAGGATTGCAAGGACAACAATTTCTTCAACATCAAGTTGCATTCCAAATCCAGAATAACCAATACCTCCATTACTGATCTTCAGTATGCTGATAATTGCATTGCATGTGCCCACGCAATTGAAGTGCTCCAGGGCACTCTTGGTAGCTTCTGTGAAGCATATGAAGTGCCTAGACCCACTGCAAACTTCATGATATTTTCCCAACCCACCCCAAACCAACCAGCAGCTCCTCCACGTATTTCAGTTAGAGGGTAATCCCAATATTTCCGGTACTTTCCTAAAAATAAACAGATGACAATATTCAGACTACATAAAATCTGCCAGGGCTGCCTTTAGACATCTTTGAAATCATGTCTCTGGATGATCATGACATCAGGACTGAAAACAACTTTTCATCTACCAGGCTGTTTTCATTCTTGCCCTGTTATCTAGCTGTGGTATTTGGACAGTATATCAGAAACACCTGAAAGCCTTGGAATGTTACCACCAGCAGCATCTTTGACAAATCCTCCAAATCAATTAGAAGGACAGGTGGACCAACTCCAGCACTCTCGCTCAAGAAGACACCACCAGCATTGAAGCCATGCTCACACAGCACCAGCTTTATTGGATAGCATATGTCCTAATGTTGCCTAACAACTGGCTCCCAAAACAGGTCCTGTACTTTTAACTCACCAGTGGTCACTGCTCTAGAGGAAAGCCAATCCAAAGAAATGTAATATCAACATTAGTACCTGGGAGACTCGAAAACTGAATTGTCCCTAGTGGCACCATGAGAAACAACAAAGCATCCACCTCTCACTATGGAGGTGGATAGATGAGAGGCAAAGGGAAAAGCAATGACCCAACATCACCAGGATCTACTCCTTGCCAGAACTGTTTGCCATGTCTGCAGTCGAACATGCAGATCTTAGATCAACCTTGTCGGTCACCTGCAGACTCACTGATAACCAGGGATCGTGGGTTTCTCTGATAAAAAAATCCCAAATTTTTGGATTAAAAAAGTAACCCAAATTCACATTTTTCTGTGATTAAAATGTGTATATATATATGTGTGTATATATGCACACACACACACACACATATATTTTATATTTATATATATATTAGTGGTGTTTCATTTTGATCACACAAAAATGTGGATTTTGGATTACTTTTTTAAATCTGAAAATTGGGGCTTTTTTTTAATCAGAGAAAACCAGGATCTCTGATGATAACTTCCTTATTTACTGGAAGATTGCCATTCTCATATTGAGGGACTACTAATGTGAATGCATCCAGCTCTATGTATGACTTTGTCTGGAAGCTTGTACTGGTGCAGCACCCCTTACTTACCAATTACTTCATATTAGCACTCTGTAATCTCCCCTGGTTGTTCACTGGCTTCAAGTAACAATTTTAATAGTTTTTATCAATAGAGCTATAGCTAAATGGTCTTCAAATCTGTCTACCTGGGAGGCCCCTCTTTCTCCATGCAGCACAGTTGTCATTCACAGAGACACCTGAGTTTGGAGTCTAATTCAACTCAAATGGGATGGAGCTTTCTCCAAGGGGACCCTAATTTCCTTTACTTCTTATGGTACAAAACAGCCCAAATCTGTTGACCTTAAGGGCATCTAGTAACTCCTTTGTCTCAGGTATGTGGAAGGCAGGCAGCAGAGGAAGAATGCTCTCCTGTGGGAATGTTTATTGAGCTGGTTTACATGTATGATGCATTTCTCTGGGAAGCTGTGCTAAGTATACTGGCTTCTTGTAAATTTGCATCTGAAATATGCTTTAGCTGATGTTGTATTTAATTAATGTCTAGTGCTATTTGGCAGATGCTCTTTATTAGTACAGGTTTCTGTCGATGTCTGTGGGTTCTTTATAGGAGAATTCGCTCTTATGCAATGAGCATATTTAGACCCATAATTCATTATATGCAAGGTAAATTCACTCTTATGCGATCAGTGTAGATGCCCCTCCATCCAAGCAGGTAAGTCTGTGGTGGGGAGGGGAACGGGCCATGGCCCCACTCACCCCAACCCCGGCTGCAGTGGTCCTGGGAGCAGCCGACACCAGCTGCTTGCACCAGCGCATGGCACAGCCCAGGAGTAGAGGTGAGTGGGGACAGGTGAAGCACGATGCAGCCCAGAGGCTGCAGGCAGCTGGTGCCAGCCGCTCCCAGGGCCACTGCAGCCAGGGCTGGGGTGAGCACTGCTCTGTTCCCTCTGCTTTGCTGACTTGCACAGCCCCAGGAGTAGCACTTCTCCCTCCACACCTTTTCTAGTCTCAGCCTCACTCCCTCCCTCACGGCCATGGAAACCTATTTGTTACACTATAAAGTGGGTTCGCTTTATGTGAATTTGATTTATGTGCCATTGTCCAGGAACGCAAGTACAACATAAAATCGAGGGAAACCTGTACTTACAAATCTTAATACAAAAACCCAAACATTTTTAATCTCAGACACTGACAGCAGATGCATGGTATGCTTATGTATAAGCCCCTGGGAAAAAAATCTTCCCAAAATATTTGGCTCAGTCATGTTCTCTGGAAGCAAGTTGTATAGCTTCATTGGTCCTCATGTTGAAAAGTGTTCCATTCTGCTTTAAATTTATTACTTCTTACTATCGGCTGCCCTACTGTTTTTATATGATGGAATTATTAGCAGTATAAAAGGGGATTAAAAAGATACCATAGAAAAGACATTGCACACAGGTTCTACATCATTTTTCTTTTGGACAAAGGTACTTTCTATTAGGTATATTTGTATGTCTAAGAATTAGTGAAGATTATGCATATTTTTGAAAATAGAAATATCCCCAGTAGAAAACAGATTAGTAGGATAAATGTCAAAACATATTTTACAGGAAGTTAAGAACACTACATGACGAATTAGAAATCTGCCTTAAAGACTCTTTCAGACAGAACAGTTCAAACACAGAAAAAGCAAATGCTTCACAAAATAAGCACTTTTTCCACAGTTCAGTGCAAGATAAAATTGAATTTGATATACACTATGTAAGAGGCTGTTCCAAGCATAAGGAGTGTCAAGACAAGGAATTTGGAGTAAGGCAGAGAGACAAAAGGTGTTGATTTTTTAAAGCACTGAAAAACTAAGGGACTTGAATTCTTGAGTCACTTTTGTGGATGTAGGGCTGCTAAGTGACTTTAGAGATATATTATCTGTATTCAAGTATGTAAAAAGGTAGGCAGAATATTCAGAATCATTTAAGCAGGTTATGAACCTAACTGCCATTGATAAGTTAATAGGGCTTGGATGCCTAACCTGATCAGGCAGTTTTGTAACCAGCAGTTAGGTGTCTATCTTTGCCATTAGGCTCTTTGAACATCTGGCATTTAGGCACTTCTGAAGATGTGAGAATGGTAGGAGAGTGGATCTGCAACTATGAAGACCAATGGTCAAACATCCTGTGTGGTTAGTGGTAACGTGGGCTTTGGGTACACGGTTGCTGTAGCCTATAGAACAGTGATTCTCAAGTTTTTTAGGTTCAAGGTACTCCTTGTTAGACTCAAGGCACCCCTCTTAGTTTTCACTTGTTATTTGACTATGGAAAAAATAAGAGCCAATTTTCTGTTGCTGTGAGCTCAGAAAGCTCACAACAGGTAATATGTTTTTAATACTATTTGAAATCTCTGTGTTTATCTTGTGAATCATGTTTGCACCCCTAAAAATGCTAACTTTGTGTGGTATCCACAGCGCCCTTGACAGGATCTCAAGCATCTCAAAGTACCGTGGCACTGCTACACAGCCTTTGGTGGGTATGCACGTGTTTCACACCCTACTGTCATATAGTAGGATTCCATTCCTGTCAGCCCTTCCATAGCTCCCCTGCACGAGTCCCTTTATTTGGACATTGCTCGGGGACCAGAATTAGCATTAAGTCACTGATTGAGCAGCAGACTAACATGTCTATATTTTGCCTCCTGTTGTGATTTAAAATGCATCATAAATATACAGTCCCTTTACAGAAACATGGAAGAGAGAAGACCCCTAACTCAGGAACCTGCAGTCTAATTTAGACAACAATGCTAATACAAGAAGAAAAAGGACAGACTTGGCCATGAGATAGTTTCATAGATTTAGGGTTGGAAGGGACCTAGTAGATCTTCTAGCCCGACCCCCCGCCAGGGCGGAAGAAGAAAAAAACCCCAAAACAAAAACGGGACTCAAATGAGTCCAGCCTTCAGATCAAAGCCTGAAGGTTGTATTTCCTTCTCACACATGTTGTTGTTTAGATACTACAGTTCAGCGAGATATTTCCCTCATGTAAGACTAGTCACTATCAGTAGGAGAGCTGGATTAGAACTGGTGAGAAAATAATGGGTAGCTCATCCTCGTTTGGCCAACCTGAACAAGACACAGGGGAAGCACATATATAGCTATAGATATAGATTATTATAATACAATTTAGCACAACATAATTATGGAAATCATTTTCCCAGCCAGATCTGTGCTTACATCTCTGTCAAAATAAGCAAATGCATATGTGTAAAAGATACTTTTAATGCTCTGCGCTATTCACCTCTCTCACAGAGATAAGAACATTCAGTCATTCAATGCTCAGACCATTCAGTCTCTGGCTACTTCCCACATCAGTGTTTGATTGAGAACACAAGAGGCTATGAAGATGTTATTCAGCTTATCTGGAGGGTCAAGTTGCAGTCTATGAAGATTTATAACATGGAACAGTGTTACTCATCCCAGTATCCTGCTTAGATTATGTGCAAGCAATGACCTAGGAATCCTTATATTATTTTCCATTGTCCTTTTGCTAAAAATGCATGATACCTTAATTTTGCATGTTCTACACTGTTTTAGTCCTCTGCTAAGAATTTGTATTGGCTTGGTGATGCCTTTAATGACACTATTATACAAGAAATATCTACTCTTAGCACCATTAGACTAGACAGATCTGCTCATGACAGGAGTTTCCTTTATGTTCCCTTAGCCGAACAAAATCAAGAAAAATTGGGCATTGACTGAAATGAAACCTCACTATTGAGAAAAGAGAAATAAAATTTCAAAAGGGAATCACAAGAACAATTGTATCCTCTTATACAGGGATGTAAAATATATAGTCTGTGCAAAGTGTCATCTGGCTCCTAGACGGGTAGAGATTTGGGGCCAGGATGAGCAATGGAGACAACCCCTGCAGATCCCTGAGCGAACACTGGTTCAAGCACCCACAGTAACTAATGCTGCCACTGCTCAGCTCACCCCACCACTGGAGGTGGGTCTGAATCTGACCCACGAGGAGCCCTGTGGTCTGGATCTCACCTGCTGAGGCAAAAAATTTTGACCCCCCTGCTCTAGTATGTTTAGCTGGTATCATATAACTTCATTTGTTTTTTAGCTCATCTTTATAAAACTGATAACTGTTGCAATTTAATTAGTAAATCACAGAGATATTAATACCTTAGAAGTGGTTTCTTCCTCACCTACTGAGAGACAGAAATGTTTGTGAGATCATCAAGTTCTATCTGGAGCCCACAATTTTCAGTTATCATAAAGACAGCTTTAGCAGTCTGGTGTATTGTGGACTTAAAGGGATATTTAAATTATTTCAGATACAAAAATAACATGTTCTAGAAATAAAGCAGAACTTTGATTTTAAGGAAAAATACTTTTTACTCTTTCAGACCAACTCTTACGGACATCTTGTTTCATTTTATTTCTTAATATCCTTTGTTATAAATACCTGTCACCACAGGAAAACCCTCCGCCAGGGGTCTCACATGCCCTTGCCCTACTAGGAGCCCTAAATATTTAGTTTCCCTCTTCCCCAAGGCACACTTCTTTGGGTTTGCCGTTAGTCCTACTAGCCTGAGTTCCATTAAGATGGCTCTTAACGCCTTCAGGTGATGTTCCCAGAACTCTGTATATATCGCAATGTCATCGATATATGTCGATGTGTAACCTTGGTGCAGAGCAAGCACCCAATCAATTAGTCTCTGAAAGGTGGCTGTCGCTCCATTAAGTCCAAACGGCATTCTTTTAAATTCAAAAAGACCCCATGGGGTACCAAAGGCAGTCTTGGGTTGGTCTTCGGTTCTCAAGGGCACCTGTCGGTAGCCTTTTGATAGATCTATAGTGGATATGAACCATGCCTGGCCTATACGTTCCACTAACTCACTTACTTGTGGCATGGGGAATGCATCGAATTGAGTCAGGATGTTTAACTTGCAAAAATCTATGCATAGTTGCAAGGTTCCATCGGGTTTCAGCACTGCTACCAATGGACTACGCCATGGGCTACATGATGGAGTGATAATCCCTTGGGCTAACATCCTTCCTTTTTCTTCTTTGATCGGTTGATACCTACAATACGGGATCCTTTGCCATTTCTCCCACACCTAATGACCCTCTTGGGTAACAATTTTATGTTCAATCCCTATCACTTTCCCTGGGCTATCAGTGAAAATATCCTTAAACTCTTGGACCAATCTCCGTAATTGTTCCTGCTGCCCTTCCTCAAGTTGACTCTCCATGGGGACCCCCCCTAAGTCCCCTGCTTTACTAGGATTTTCCCCCACTGGGCACCCAAATTCCTCCAACTCGGGGTCGGGGAGATCAGTAGGCCCTCAGGTTCATGCCATTCCTTGAGCAGATTTATGTGATAAATCTGTCTCTCTCTCCTGTGTCCGGGACAGGATACCTGGTAATCTACTGGCCCCATTCTCCTTAGCACCTCAAAGGGTCCTTGCCAACAGGTAAGAAACCTGCTTGTAGAGCTGGGCAACAATACTAACACTGTTTGCCCCACTTTTAGCTCCCTCTCTTTGGCCTGCCCATCGTACCTTCCCTTTTGCTTATTCTGGGTCAATCCCAAATTCTCAGATGCCTCCTCCCTCACCAGCTGGAGGCGTTCCTTTAAATCTCTCACATACTCCGAGGCTACCCTTCCTGTCTCTGGGTCCGTTTCCCAGCCTTCCCTCACAATATCCAATAAGCTCCTGGGATGGTGTCCATACATTAACTCGAATGGCAAATACCTTAATGATGCTTGTGGGGCATCTCTTATTGCAAACAACGAAGGTGGCACCAGCAGGTTCCACTTCCTTGGCTCTAGCTGGGCACATCTACACAACATCCCCTTGAGGGTACCATTAAAGCGTTCAACTAGGCTGTTCCTTTGTGGATGGTACACCGCCGTCTTTAAATGATGGATCTGCAGAACTTTACACACTGAACTCGGCACTATTGACATAAAATTGGATCCTTAGTCAGTAATGATCTCTTTTGGAATACCGACCCTTGCCACCCATTTCATGAGTTCCTCTGCCACTCTTGGTCCTGTCACAGCTCGCAATGGGATAGCCTCTGGGAACTTTTGCCGTAATCTATTAACACTAAAATAAACTGGTGTCCCGCTGCGCTCCGGGGTAAGGGGCCTAACTACATCTAAGGCAACCCTGGCGAAGGGTTCTCTGACTACTGGCGTAGGCTGCAAGGGCACTTTGCGGGGTTTATAATTGCTCACCTTTTGACATATGTCACAGACTCGACAGAATCCTTCTACCTTCTCATACATATGGGGCCAGAAACACCATTTAGCTAGGTGGGCTTCAGTCTTAGTCTTACCAAGGTGTCCCTGCAGTGGGTTCCAATGAGCTAAATGCAGGAGTTGTACTCCATAGGGTCTGGGTATAATTAACTGGGCAACCTCCTCCCCTTCGGCTTTACCCCTCCTAATCCTATACGTCAACCCGTTATGCACCTCACACTGTGGCACTGGCTTACTTTGATTGGGGTGTGTTACCTGTTGGTCTTGTTTCCCCTGGTCAGCCTCCTGCAACACCCAAAGTTCCTCATCATTCTCCTGGGCTTCTCAGAATTGACTGCTACTGGCAAGCCTTTCTACATCCAGTTCCTCATCTCTTCCTACATCGGCCCCTACTAGTCCCTCTTTAGTGTCCTCGGGGCTGTGGAGTGAGGCTATTATTTCGTAAATTTCCAGCCAGTCCCTACCCAATATCATGGGGTATAAAATTTCTTCCTCTAACCCCACTGGGATCCTTCTGCTAACCCCCTTCACCTGTAAGTGTAATATCGTCTTTCATAATAGGCTTTTTGTTTGTGGAGGCAAACCAACTTCACACCGGCATACCTTGGTGTTTGTTTCCATGATATCAGTGATGGTCGGACAATGGATTGAGCACATCCAGTATTGACTACGGCTTGTACCAACCAGCCTTTCACCCACACGGTCACCTGCAGTAAGGGTTGTACTTTCCCTACTAAGCTGCCCCTATGCTGCAATCCATCATCTCCGTTTCATGTCCTTCTCTAGATCCTGCTCGAAGGTCAGTGTGTTCTACTTTGACTTCTCTTGACCTTGGAGTCACCCATGGGCTTTGGGAACATTCTTAAGCTATATGGCCCCACCTACCGCAATTAA